GAAGGGAAGGGAAGGGAAGGGAAGGGAAGGGAAGGGAAGGGAAGGATCAATTTTATAGCTCAGAAGAGATACTGAGAAGTCAGTAAACAAGATCTCTGAACTGAAATGTAGAGTTATTGAGACTCCTGTTTCAGCAAGTTACTGAATGTTGTTCTCAATGGAGACCATTGCCAACTGAAGGGCCTGTAGTCAGTGGCTTTCCCCCTGTCAAGTGTCTCATCACATCAGCTTGGAGTGCACTTTCCAGATCTCCAGACAGGTTACTTTTCACAAGAAAACCTGTCAAAGAATGGGAAATAAACAAGACAAAATCAAAGATCCAGCCCACACCTCATAGATACCACCAGCAGCAGCCAAAATTTTTTATTCTTGTAGTTATGTGTAAAAATAGAGACAATGTTTTCAGTCACATGTTTGGGTTCCTGGTCCTGGGCTGATTTTGAATCCAACATTTGCTTCCAATTATAACAGATTTCATGACATGAAGTTTTAGGTTGGTTGCACAAAACAAACAAAAGCCAGAAGTCTGGGACTGGAGGAGTGTGATTTTTCAAGGCTTTTGAGCAAAAAAAATGTTGCTATAATTTTGACAACATAATTTAGCAGCTTTTATATAGAGCAATCTACACCTCCGCCCCTCTCCACCTCGCCTCCCCCTCTGGTATTGTCTTGCCTGTCAATTATTGGAAGAAGAGCCTGTTCTTTAAAAGGCTTTTAAATTATTGGAAATTATTTGGAATATATTCTAAAAGCTCTTGAAAGAAAGAACACTACCCCCACATACACACAGATCAGAAAGTATTTATTTGTATTGTCAACTTAAATGTGCAGGATTAATTAACATGAGAGTTTATCTGGCTAACAACACCAAGGATCATCAGCAGTGCTGACCTTTGCTTGAGCTGTGGGGATATTAAAAGGCAAACCTAGTGCTCCAAATCCCTGACATGACATCACTGTGCCCATTCCATTTGGTACCCATGATACTGTGAGCCACAGTGAGGGAGTTTGGGGCCACGACACTCCAGGGAGAGTGCTGCAGTTAATGTATGCACCCCAGCAAGCAAAGCAAGGCAGCTGCACCATTCTGCCAAGTAAGCAACTTTGTTGTTAATGTGGGGTTTGTTTGCTCTGATACATAACAGACACATTCGAGTTCCTTCAAACTATCACTCTGACTGGCATTGAAAGATATTGTATTATAAATTTTACATTATAATAGTGTTTACTGGCAGAATAAATTGCATACCTGTATTGAAGTGATGGAAAAAAGACATCACTCATTATCACATTGAGCAGCATGCTGAATGCAGCAGTGAACAGTGATAATCGTGCCAGCTAAAGCAATTTTACCTATGAAAAGTTGTTCAGACGTAAGAGAGACTGCTAATGTCTTACACAAGGCACAGCTATTTCCTATTTGTTTCTGAGAAGAACCTTACTATTCATTGATATCTCACAAATTTCCTAAATGCGATGTACATTAAAGGCATAAAAATTATTTCTCTATTTTCTTCACAGTCTTCTTTTATCTCCCTCATATCTATCTTTCACATCACCAGCTGTTGGTTTTCCATATTTTAAGTCACGTCACACAAATTAGAAATAAGCATTTGGTTCAAATGTTGCTTTACAGTTCACCCCCAGTCCCTCTGATCTCTCCTAAAATGGTTTCCAAGACATTTCTCAAGAGAGACCCATGTATCACCTAAACAATTTTCATTTCCAAATTTAGCCTTCATCTGAGCCAGGGCTGTGAGGAGCTGATTCACTTGTCTTCCTTTAAATCTTACTTTCTCATTGCTAATATACTTAGATGAGTTTCATCTTCCTACCTCTGCCTACTAGTAGATATTTAGGGTGGTCTTCACTGCCAGGTAGGATATCTTATTTTAGGCACCAACATGTAGGACTCTGCAGGCTCCTGTAGTGTCTGAGCTCTCAATACAGTCCATGCAGATCTGGTTAGTGAATCCCAGGTGTAATTTATCCAAAGCAGGTAATAAGCATACCTTAGCATTTGCTGCCTGGCTCCAGCTGCTGAAGGAAATCAATTTCTCTAGGGCCTCCGTCACACACATCAGCAGCATGCAGAGGTCTTCAACACTATAATATACGTGGTAGAGTCTTAAAGCATGTTTATGCAACCGAATTAGACCCTAGACCTCTGGTACTCATTGCAGAAGCCAATCCCTCACTGCCAGACACCCAGGTGCAGATGAGTCTCTCTCCAGAAGCCAGGTGAGATGATACTCATTGACAGCTCTCAGTTTCACTATCTGGCTACATCTTGGAAGTTCAGCTCAATTACACAGCACTGCTCCTCCAAAGCTTTTCAGAACCAGTCCCCATTGGTAATTGCACTTCATGTCTTTGAGGATCTTGTCCCCTAAAGGTCTGCTATCGTTGTAACCAGATTTACTTAGAAAAGAGTAGGAGAGCAAACACAGCTGTGCAAGTTATCTGTGCTTAGCAAACTCCTGAGTGTCTGTGACCGACAGGACTATTTCATAGTGATATTTCAACCATGGGGGCTCAGCCCAGAAAGGAATGTCTGGGTGCCAAACTAGGAGCAGTATTTCTGAGGAAGCACTGCTGCCACAGGGAGCAGAGGCAGTGCAGGGAGAGGATGTGGCAGCTCAGGCTCTGCTGTGTCACTCAGTGCAGTGGCTCCTCTGCAATTTCCTGCGCCAAGGTAAGGATTTTTTGGATAGAAATCAGGTGACATCAGAAAGGGATGAAAGGGGCTTTCAAGGGTCTTGTTCTACAACTGAAGATGCATCTCTAAGGGCCAGCATCTGAGAGGCATGTTGCCATAATTAAATACATTAAAACACAGATCATATGAGTTATAAGAAGTGTAATAAGGGAGTACTAATCTCCCCACCATTGCAGTTCTTCTTAAAATATGGAGAAAATATGAAATATGTCTCAGACTCTCTATAATCCAGCAAAATACCCTGCTATGTATTGGCCAGGATAGCAATGTGCCACCTTTTGAGAAAAAAAGTCTTTTTCATGTACCGGTTGTCATGTTTCTTCCAAAAGAATAATAAAATGGGAAAGAAAAAGAGAATACTATTAAAGAGAAGCAGCACTGTTGTGTGAATTCCTTTTACTTGGCTGTGTTGGAGAAAGTGGGGGATTATTTTTAAAGATTGATGATCATCTCCTTCTCCCTGCTCAAAGGTCACAGCCTTCATTAAAAAGTTTGACTTGTCTGCCATAGGACATATATTTCTCATTTAAAATACTGCAGTTCAAGCCAGTTGCTGGTTCTAATATCAAGTCTCTTTTTACAAACAATATAAAGCATGGCACCTCTATGTTCAAGACAGAAACAGTCCACAGGATTACGAGATATACTAAAATTAAAATGATATCCAAAGAAAACTGTAGGTGAAAAACAAAAGGAGATAGATTGAAAATTGGAACTATGGAAAATAAAAGTGCATTGTTAGAGCTGTTTTTTCATTAATAAAAATTATTATCTCTCTAAAATGTATGTTATCCATACATTTATCTACATTTCTGTTTGTTTGTCATTTACCTGTTTTCCACCTGCCTGAAAGTAACCACGTATTTGGAAAAGCAAGTTAAATTGCCTTCCTCAGCAAAAGGAGGAGTGAGAGATAAAAAGAAGAGTGGAAAATTATGAAAAATCTTGGTGTAATCTGAATAGCAATGAAGTAAAAGCTACTCCTTGATGTGCCTATGAATCCTGTAAATGAAGTGGCCCTTGAATTAAATTAATTTAAAATCTGGCAAATATTACTCGGCATGTTTGTCAATGTGCTGTATAATTATTAATTTGTTCATTGAGGCAACTATATAAATAAATAGAAAGCAGAATGCCATGATTAAACTAACATTAGAAATC